TTCAAAGTTTTTCGATAACTTTTATTCTTTGTGTTTTTACTGAATCTGTTTGATACAAATAATATTCAAAATGTTTGTAGTTTTATCTAAGTATGGACAAATACATATAACAATTAACCATTTAATCTTTGCAAATATTCACATGTGCTGATTTTATGTATTCTTGCAAGAAATATGACTCACATACAAATGCTAAAAGATCATCTTTGTGTATTCATAAGATGACAAGCATTTGACCAAATCTTGCATATTAACGTGAGAAAACCATTGTAGTGCAAATGCTACCTAACAGAATAATTTAATTTTTTTTTCTGCAATATGTCATGCTTTATTCTTCGTTAGAAATTGATTTTATCTCCAATAACTGCACAATATTAATTGATAAAACTTATTCACTTTTTCAAAATCTCTAGCAGCTGTCAATATTCATGCACATACGTATCCAAAAGTCATTCTACCAGCATTATATCTAACAGTTTTGAATGCAATTCCAATGTAAGTAGATGGTCGAGTGATGAAGAAGTTTGTCTTATGAATTCAGTTTTTTTCTTCATTCGAGTCTATTCTCGTATGCATACATATATGAAACTTTGGAGTCATTACCATGCAAATTTTTTTATTAAATTATTCTTATGTTCTCTCTTGCGAAAATGTTAAATAAATACATGCACAAACTATTACGCTTATAAACATGAATATAGGATAGTTCTTAATGTGTTCACACGCATGCCCTGGCATAACACTTCATGCATGTACATGCAACATTATTTTGTAGTGACACACTTATGTTTTAACATGGTCAACGGCTGAGCTTTTTTCCATTAATTGATAGAAGAGAACAAAAACGATTTATAACTTAAAAAGATAACTAGTTATCAAAACGATTAATTTTTCTAACATCTACTTTCTAATGCTGAAGATATTTTAGGTACTTAGACGCCAGTTTTCTTCAAGTTTTTTAAATATTTGTCTAATCGATTGTTAAATAATTTTACTATAAGAACTTTGCATAAATTACGAATAGAAATGGAAGCAAAAATCATAGATCCTATTTGAACAAGAATATTTCTCAATATGTACGCATAATATACTGTGATTATAGATACAACATTGAATGTTGATGTTGTAGTAATTAAAAGTAATGAAGCACTATATGCTACAGTTCGAATTTCTGAAGTATTAAACATTGTTATGCTTCCTAATAAATATATAATTCTCACGATGAGCCGAAATATCGGCAACAAATGCTTGTTTTTATCATGTCTCATATTCAATAAGAAGAATTTCTAATCCCTATCCACCAATGATAAGAAAAATCATATAGATTAGTGTAGTGTGATTGAATGTATGTAAATTAACGAATAATATTGAAATCTCAAAAATATGTCAAAATGGTCAAATAAATTTAATAAAAGAAATACTTACTGAAAGTATTGTATTGATATATTGTCACTCAAATAAACATTATAAATTTACAGTGAAGAATATGCAGGAAAAGAAAGCACCGAAAAATAAATCAATCATCGAAAATAATTATTTGTAGTAAAATTCGTTTTTCTATTTAATGATACGTATACTGTTTAGAAAATTCATTTTATCGATAATTTTCAACGACTAATATTAAAACTAATTGAATTTTCTGTCTTTGTTTTTGCTTTGTACTATCACACTACGTTTATTTATTAACATATATACAATAAGAATGTATGCAATGTGCTATATCTTATAGTAATTATATTCACCTTGAACGTATAAAGAATAAAGTTTAGCAGATAAAAATTATACGAATAAAGAAAGAGAAGTAATACATTGTTATCTTCTACAATCTTCTTCATTTACGTCAGCAATATATCAAAGAATGTGTATAGATCTACCATTAAGGCCAGTCAGATTTTGCATAACTTAAATAGATAATACAACATTAAAATATATATCACTAACTTCCTATTTCGATAATGAATGAAACGTTTGTAATAATTGTAGGAGAAAGTTTGTTCTCCTAAACAATATAGACATCGACTGAAGATTGAGTATGTGACGAAAATGATCTTATAAATGAATTCTTTATCCAGACGCATGAAATTATGAAACCTACTTAGATGTTAATATATAGATAAATGGAAAAGAAAAAACTAAAAGATATATAATAGATCATCGATGCTATCTTTTGCAAATAGATGTATAACACAGTAAAACGTTACGTGATGTAAAATTAGATATTTTTCAATTTTTCATCAAATTAAACAGCTTTTTTCGTATTTTATTCTGTTGATAATCTTGGTAAATAGAAACATAATTAAATATAAATTGTAAAGTATTAGAACACTAGGTAAAATATTGTATGCTACTAACAACTATGACAAAATACTTAGAACATACCACAAGTAGTAATAGTGATACTTCAGTTTCTTATAAAAAGCTTAAAGAAACTTTCTCCAAGTTGACTGATACTAAAAACGACGCCCTAGTTTTCTGCGCTATTAATATATCATGCTTCAACTAATATGATAATCGTAAAATTTCAGTAAGACTCGCTTGGCTATCATGCGTGATGAGTATATTCGTACATATTGTCTTCCATCGTGTTCACAAGTAGGTTATTTCTTTAACCTACTTGCGAACACGATAATAGGCTACAGATGCAAACAAAACAAATAACACATGCATCTTTATGTATATATATATATATATGTGGACGGTTAAGCATTAAGAGATACGAAGAAAAGAATAAAGAAAAAAGAGGAGAAGAACAAAATGCAGATCAAGAAGAGAATACATATTGAAAACAATATGAAAAACTATACCGTCATACATGATAGCCAAACCGATCTTATTGAATGTTACTCTTATGATATTAATTGAAGAATGATATGATAGCATAGAAAAATAGAACATTGTTTTTATTATCAGTCAATATAGAGAAGAAATTTGTTGAAACATTTTATAAGGAATTAAAATATCACTATCACTACTTTTTATATGCGCTAGATACGCATCAAAAAGAAAATATAGTTCGTTTACATTGTACATTTTAGAAAATAAAAATGCATCTCTTGTTTTTGCTAATATATTTTTTATTTTCTAAATTTTATTTATTATTCCAACTGAATATATATTCTCAGAGGCCACGTATTCCATACGTTTTTTACTTTCATAGAACATTGTAACAACAATTAGCTTCCAGTGTAGATAATCTTGAATACTTTAATTTGAACGTGATCTTGATTTTTCTTGCGTAGAGAGAATGAATGCAAAATATTTGCCTTTTTATATCAGTGTTCGGTTCAATAGAAATTCTAAAGGTTTCAATAGATCAGATGTCGTTGGATATTGGATTTAAAGAAGATAACTAATTGAATAATGATCAGTAGATATGTAAAGAAGTCTATTCTGCTAAATAAAGTTTAATATTTTCGAATTTTAAGCTTCACTAATATTTATATCGTGTAAATATGAAATTTATGACTTGTATCTATTTTCTGATCTTGTGGCGTTAAGCCGCAATAATGTTTAATTAAGTTTAATATCTCCTCTGTTTTCCTCAGATTTTTTTTAATAATAAATGTCAATAGTGTCTTGAACTATTTAAAAAGTATTTATATTGGCGAATAATAAGCAAGTACTCATTCGTCTTGCTGTTATATTATCAGTCATATTAAATTATATAACATGTGGAAAAACATCAGTGGTGAATCTAGGGTTTTTTTTGATAAGGAGCGCTTCCATGGGGATGGAGGCGATCATAATTCTAAAACGTGTGTTGAACCTCATTTTTAAGCTTTTCTGCTGGGAAAAATTGAAAAACGATCTTAGTCGATCATTTTCAACTCTCAAATTCGCAAGACTATTACCGATGTTACAATAGAAGGAGAAACAAATGAAAATTATTAAAATGTAGAACTGTACATCAATATCTATTACATCATAAACTCAACTTCATAAACGATAGTAACTAGTTGACAAATTGAATGATTTAATCTTGAAATTATATTACTCAAGCTTTTTATGCTAGTTTGTCTTGTAACATCGGTAATAGTCTTGTGAATTTGAGAGTTGAAAATGATCGGCTACGATCGAAAATTCCTGCAAAATAAACAGAAAATCTTACACTACATACAAACTTACTTAAAATTATCTGAAACTGACTTAAAAGCTCAAGATTACATAAGCAATATTCTCGTGAATTATTACAAACTGAAAAACCTTTTTGGAATTGGGGCGATTGCCCCAGCGTTCCCCTTAAATCTGCCACTGAAAGACACAACTTTAGTTCTAGAACAACCTACGGAAAAATTCTTCCGAAAAAAACTGCGGTAATCTGAGGTTAACCACGGTTTGCAAATACCGCCGTGAGAACCGAGAAAACCGCGGTCCGAGCTGAGTTTTTGCAGGCTTAACCGCGGTTTTCTCGGTTCTCACCGTGGTATTTGCAAACCGCGGTTTTCGCCGGTTTCAAAAACCGCATAAAAGGTCTGACTTTCACGGTTTAAGAAACCGTGGTTTTTTCTTGAAAAATTTTTCCGTGGGAAGTAGTATTAGTGGAAACGATATAAATAATCTTTGCAGTAGACTTTATCTATTCGCTTTTTTTCTCTTGTTTCACGTCATTATAAAAAGAGTCTACTTCTCATAATCTTTGCTTCCACTCTTGATATTAAACATCAGCGATAATTATGTTTCCTTCCAACTTATTAAAATTTAGTAAGTCAAGAACAATAATTTTTTACTAATAAGAACGTTCATAAAGTTCAATTTTCATTACTGTGGACATTATTTTTGTAATACATTTTATTCTTCTTTTTTCACACAATTGACGACGTATTTCAATACAACTGTCAACATTGGTTCGAATCTATTTTTGGATCTATCAATGACATCATCAAGATGATTGCATGGCCATCAAATAATGATAGAATTTATAATAGGCTTTTTTGTTTTTATTCATTAGTATTAACAAACATTACAACATACTATATTATGAGAATAAATGATTTGAAAGTTTAAACTTGTGATTCTTCATATGTAAGCTTTGCATTAAGATCATATGTTTTTTGTGTATTTTGTTGAAATAATTGTTCACTACGTTGTTTTATGTCCTTAGAACACCGTACACTGTTGAATAGTCGATGACAACGACGAATAAGTGAAAAAAATGCATAACGAAATCTGCGTCCACTTATACAATAAATCATAAAATTTGTACAAAAATTTAAATCTTTTAAAAATTCACAAAGTGAACGTATAATTAAATAAGCTTCAAAAGATTTTTGTGTAAAACATAAACCAAATGGTAAACCCCATCTTAATATAACATTTATTATTGTAAATGGTAAAAAGTAAACCGTAAACATTAATGTTACAATTAGTAACATGAGCATTAATTGATTTTCATTTGCTTCATAGTGTCGTTTTCTATGATAAACATGATTTGTTAAAGTTTGATGTCGCCGAAATACAGCTCGTTTAACTGTATGTAATGTTATACAATTACCAATAATAACAATTGATAATGGAATAAAACAAAGAGTAAATTCAGTGATTGTTGCATTTAATTGTCGATATTTTTGCCAACTTGATATTGGATGACAACGTTTCTTTTGTTCTAGTGAAACGTCAATTGGTATAAATAAAACACGAGTAGAAAATATTAAACTCATTATCGTTATTAATACAATTAATATTCGAGCACGACATGATGAGATAAATTTTTTAATACGTAACGGAAATAAAACAACTAGTGCACGTTCGACTGTTATTAATACTATTATCCAAACGGATAAGAGTGTACTTGCGTCACTAAGAAATACTAAAATGGTACACATGCATGGCCAATAAAATGCTTTTGATGTTTTATTTTCGAATGATATTAATTTGAGTACAAGAACAAGTGTGTCTGATATAGCCATCGATTTAACATAAACAGAAAATGATGACCGATTTAATCGTGAATTTGTCAGAACAACAAGTAAAATTAATGAATTAGTAGCTAAAGCTATTATTGGCAACGCATGGATGGACGTATAACTCAAAGTTTGAGAAAAATGAAATGCTGCGGAAGAATTGAACATTAAACTATTTGGTTCACACAGAAAACGATTCATCTAAATAATTTAAAATAGAACTTACATACACAAGAGTTTTTTTATTGTTTACTTACTCCATAAAGTCGTGCAGGTTTATTTGTTACAGAAAGCCTATTTTCGCTTTGCTATAAAAAAACGCACAAGGCAAATGGAAAATGTTAATTCATGTGAAATAATCAATCAAATGAATTTAATAGACAATGTGAGTAATCATGCATAGAAATACTTATTCAATCTACGAATCTAGGACTCACGTGAGACTAATATGAATGTAGTGGCCATTTTTGCTTTTATAGGAAGATTGTTGATAAGTTTCACACAATTAATACGCTTTCACAAAACTCCTGAAATTCTAATTATATACTTATTAAGTATCGTTTAGTCTTTGATAAAGATTTTTTTCAATCTAACATAAACATTGTATAAATCAGTTAATGATGAAAACAGAACAAGATGAAAGAAGAAAAGAGCAGGTTATATATTTCTTTTTTAATGGAATTAGATAATGATGCAACAAAGAAAAAGATAAACACAATCAATAAATAGATTAGATCCTTTTGTGTAGCACTACTTAATTAGAGAAAGAAAATCTAAGGTGTATATTCTTTTTTCATTTTATTCTGCGTTTAATAAGCAATTTATTTGACAAAATATTCTTCGAAAATGAAACGTCACATTAATAATAAATAATTAGAATTTAAATAAATTTGTACAATAATATTAATTATGTAAAAATTTACACTGCTCCTATCATGAAGTATTATTTATAAAATAAAATTATTTATCATTAATTATTTTAAACACATCTCGAAATTTTCATTGTTTTTTCAAGAATTAGAAAAAACTAAGAAAGTAATCAATGAACATTTTCTTTTCCTTATCTTTAGTTCGTACGTTTTTATTTCGGGTACTTTTACAGACGTAAGACAAACCAATGTATTATTGCCGTACATGTATTGTTAACATTTTAATTAAACTTTCATTTTCATTAAAAATAGCAAGTATTCTTTTCATCATCAACAAGTCTAATATCATTTCTAGTGATGAACGAATATTGTGAAAAGCATGATAATAATCAAGAAACGAAAACACACGTTAAGCTCAAAAAAAAAATTTTTATGTATTTTAAAAGTGCAAATTTATTTTCTATTTAATTAAGAATAAATATCATATTTAAGTATTAAGCATTATAAATTTTTTTTCGCTATTCAGCAAATACACTAATTTAGATTAGTACAATGAAATTGTTAATTTATCTCACTATTTATGCAATTTGTACTATATTGAAGTACATGGATATGTTGGTGTTTGCTTCCTTGTAGTACAAAAAATGACATATTTGTCTGTCTGGAGAGTTGAAGAATCAGATTGTTCTTTACTATTATGTTGATTATACGATTAAAACAAATAACAACAATTTTACTTTAAGTTTCGTTTGTTCTCGTTTTTGAAACATTCACTTATATTGTTCTACGTTATTCTATCCTTTAACTTGTCTTATACAAGAAAAATCTTATTAAATAATAGTACAATAAATTTCCGTTAAGAATTTAGTTGTATTTTTATATTTCGTTTGCATGATATATTATGATTTCGATTGTTTGATCTATTGTGCTTTTTTCTTAATTCCTACCTGCAATGAAATTGAAGTGGGTATTGTCATAACGAAGTTTTGATGGAGCATCTAAATTATAAAATCAGTAAAAATGTGTTATTGTACAAATGTTATTCTGAAAGCTAGACTATTGACAGAACAAAAACTATTCTCGCGTGATAAAAACAATGAACTTTTTTCTTATAAAAGGCTTTTCTTCTTTCTGATTCTAGAAGTTTAACAAGCAGGAAGTCCTGCTATTAACAAAGAAAAGAGAAAAAGAAGAATTAGCGTCTCTACTGTATTTACGTTTATAATTTTAATGGAAAAAAAAAGGCATAGCAGAGCTCAGATATCTGCCAGGTTCTATCTAAGTGTTTGTTTTATATTGATGTGATATTTAAGACATAATTGATTAACGATGCGTAAGACAGATAACGACATAAATAGAGAGAGAATCTGTGCTACACTAAGGGTATGTATACTGGAAAAGGAAAAAATAGTCCAACGAAAATTGATTGATACCAATATTAGCCGTGAAAGTCTTAATAAGAAACTGAAGATTGTTTTATCAATACTATAGGATGAGCTATAGATAACATTACGATCAAAAATTTGAAGTATCTTTATTTCGATTCGCTCGTATAGGCTGACTTTTTCGTTAGTCATAGAAGCTTATTTCAAGTTTTTTCAAATGAATAACATAAATAAATACTACCATTCAGTTATATTTTTCACCTCATTACAGAAACTTTATCTATTGCCAAGTAAGAAAAGTATATATAAAGCGTTTCATTGATAATTTGTTAGTTGTTATCTAAGAGAATAAGAAAAAGAAATCAAAACGAACTATATTCATACGCCTATAGCAAGTTTTTAGAACTAGTTAGTTTAGAAGTCAACGATTACAAAATTTTGAATTTTCAAACATCAAACAATATTTTTTTTGTAAGGAAGTTGGTGTTCAAAGAGCTGCAGTGAAATACGAATTTTAGCATTTAAACTAATTAATAGTTTTGAAAACTTACTCCATTTGCACAAATATGGTTCATATTGATTTCTTCTTATTTATGAAACACTTCGTATTTATTTTTTCTTACTACACAATAGTTGAAATTTATTTAATAAGGCCAAAAATATAACTTGACAGCAGTATATGTTTACACTATCCGTATAAAAACAAAATTTAAATACGCTTCTACGACTACCGAAAGCGTCAGCTCATTCGAGCAAGCTGAAGAGAAGATATATCAATTTTTTATTCTAATGTTATTTATGGTCCGTTTCGTATAAGGAAACTTATTACAAATTAATAAAGGCTTGCATTTTTTAGTTATGTCCAATGTATATGGTTACCATTTTGGAACAAAACTATGGACCAGTCTTCTGCAATAGCTCTGTATATAATCTAATAATGTCTTTATAAAAAGAAATCTAGTCTATGATAATATTCGTTAATAAGACAATATATGTCAATTTGAAATGATCTATATCCTATAATAGTTCGCATCTATCAAAGAAAGAAGTGTCCTTTTTCGTGACAGGCGACCTATTTGCTTACTGTTTTCTATCTGCTCTTTTTTTGTCGTTGATCAACTTGTTCGTCTGAACCGAAGGCCTTATTTAAAATAGGCTTTTTTTCTTTAGTTATTAAACTTTTGACTGTATCTCATATCGACTAATTATCGCTTGATCATTTTTCGTAGACTCGGAATACTTTTCCAAAAAAGCTTCTCTTCATTTTATAACGGAACTTTCAAATGATGAATAAAGGCCATCGGTAACACTAATAAACATTCTGTCACATATATTTAGTATTATAAGAATGATAATTGATTTCTAACATGACATTGATTCTTATTACAGTTTCTCCTTTAAAATACTGTCAAGTATGCATCGAAAATAGTAGAAAAAAAACCAGTTGTGTTTATGAAATAAGATTCATTGAGTAGAAGACACCATGCCAGTAAAAATGTTTTAAATAGAAATAGAAATTGCAATTTCACTATGATTATCATTTTCCAAAATTCTAAACTAGTAGATCTTTCATAGGGTTGATCAGTCGATGACAAACTATGGATGCCTTCAGTCTATCTAACGGGTGGCCCATAAAGAATGGCGGTGTCAGTATTTCGTGAATATCTCCCTCAATTTTCATTGCCCAGGCTTCAACCTTTATTTAAAAGACGCGCCATTCAATTCTCTACAAAGCTGTATGAAAAGAAACTCTTTCGATGAATAGCTGAGAAATCATATCCTGTCAACACTACGGTGCTCTAAAGAGACCCACTTTCAAATGCGCTTTTTTTACACAACTAATTATTTCTCGTCTGCTGGCTAAACAGATGTCAAGTCGTTCTAATGGAAGTTTCCTATGTTTTTNGTTCGAGTTGTTGTGCGCTCGACTTTCGATATTTTTGGCTACATTATGTGTGAATGTAAACAAAGCGATACGAACTTTCTAGTGGTATCAAAATAATCGAGGTAAAGCAGTCACGAATTCCATAGGAAACAGGTTCATTAAAAAAACTTGTTTTTTTCTTCCACAACGTCCAACGAAGTTTTTCTCAAAATGTCTAATAGAAAATGTGCTTTCTTATAGGGTTCACTAAATTCTAATTGAAGATAAAATATAGGATTTCATTAACTTCGATGGCTGAAATAAATCTTATTTTTCGAAATGACTTATTAGTTATGCATACTTTTCAGTAGCAAAGTTCATTAGAAAATTTTCAATTTTGAACCTAACCAATAACTTGAAAAGTTTATTTTTACCTATTTAAAAAGCCCTATCGTAGTGCTACAAAACTTGACGAAAAGCGGATAATAAGACAAACTTTCTCAGTGAACGGAGATTTTCTTTTAAATTTAAAAATTTTGCAATGTACTTTTCCAGTCAAACATGTTCTTAAGGGAACCTTCTTCATCTCTCGTGAGCCAAAAGTTTTTATTTTTATGTAGCTATTACATAATCTGAAGTAATGTCTATCTACTGAGTACATTTTTGAATTTAAAAATTCTCTTTAAATGTTAAAAAATTAAATTTACGTAACGAAAATAGTGAGTCGTGTTTTTCTCACACTAACTTTTTCATGAACAACTGTGCAAAGATACCCTCGTTTTTCCGACCTAGTACGTTCGATCGAGCTGAAACTTTTTTCACATATACCATATATTGTTTAAGATGAGTATTTTGTTTTCTTTCAAAAACTATTTGCTCTACTAACTTTTGATAGCGCTTACAAAAAAAGATTTACTAAAAAAACAAAAACATGCGCATTTTAGAGCACCTTCGATATTTTTGCTTTTTTTGAATAAAAGATAACATCCAAGAACTTTGAGTCTATGAAAAATTTTGCTCTACTCACCAAGCTTTACCTGTCTTGAAAATTTCAAATTTTTCTGATGCATTCGGAAAACAAAATTCATACAGAGATTTAAATACCATCCGTTCGAAAAATAAAGTTCAGAAGAATTCTTGAAGATTTTGTATTCTGTTTTTTCTTTAGCGTCCTATATCTACTATATCTTATTGGCCTCATGATCCTTGTTGTTTATTAACGGGTTCACTCGATGGTCAAGTACAAATATGGGATATTCGACATTGTTCATCAAAAACACCAGCAAATTTAAAATTAACATTATCAACTCCATTTAGTATTCGTCATATACAATGGTCTTCTATGGATTTACATAATACAAATTCATCAAATGATTATAATCAATTAGCTATTCAATGTGATCGTTGTGTACGAATATATGATATGCGTCGAACAGATTCATATATATGTTCAATTGAACATAATCAACGTATAATGAGTATGGATTGGACAATGCAAAATCATTCAATTGTTACACTTTCAATGGATAATTCATTACGAGTATTTTCAACAAATGGCAATTTATTAGCTGAATCTATACCTAATGAACAATTACCTTTTGCATTAAGCAAAGTAATAATAAAAAAAAAAAACAAATTTACGATAATTATTTTGAATATTTAGATTCGTACAACATCTTATGATAATTTATTTATTTGTGCATCTTGTGATGGAATATCATCAACATTTGGTTTTACTGGTTGGCGTTGGGATGAAGATCAATATTTAAGACCATTAACAGATCATATATTATCAACCAGCTCATCATCTATTAATGATTTTACTTTTGTAACAAATTCAAAATTTTTAACTTTATTTAATCAAATGTTTTCATCACGTTCAAATGACGAATTAGTAAAACATTTTCCTATTTTAGCTTGGTGTCGTGATGAACAATTACGTTTAATTGATATGGATTCAACATTTCGTAAAACTTGGCATGATTATCGAACAAAACAAAAAAATCAATCTGATTTATTGAATACAACAATTCTGTCAAAATCATCATCATCATCATCAAATTTATTTCGACAAAAACAACAATTAAATCGAAACAATACAAATAAAGCAACAATGGATATTATTGAAGATGAAATAATGGAAGTTGCTGACAATGATTTAGATGATAATGCTTTTTCTGATTTTTTATCACTGCGTATTAATACTATAGAACTATTAGAAAATGAAGATGAACATAATATATCTATAACGTAAGTGTCATGTTATTTGGATCGTATCAAAACTCATCGAATAGAGTTTATCAAATGTTTACTTTAAAAAAATTTCTTGCCAAAGCAAAATTAGACAAATATTCTTCCTGATATAAGGATAGATATAGATGTCTATTCTTTTGATATTATATCAAGAATTTCCCATATCAATAGAATGATAAAACAAAGAAAAATCATTGATTAATTCTCATGGAATCTAAGCTGATAAAAACAAAGTTCAATCATTTATTTTACTAACTAGTACTCAAATACATCATTTTGTTATTTGGATCCAGTACGATATGATTTGCAACTATTCTATCCATAGATGGGATCAGTTCGATTGACAAACATTAGTCAATCAATATTTACTGGTAGACTGGTAATGAATTAATAGAAATAAAAGATACTATAAGCAATATTTCACATTTCTTCGTAAATTTTATCGTATATTTTAGTTATTCCACTCATGATAGAATATGAACTACGTAAGTCAAACATAGCTATATATTCATTCAACTTTCATATTACTTGACTAGAACAACTTTGAAAACATTTATAATACAATTCGAGAAAGAAAAAACATACCGAGTTCATTGTATAATCTACTAATTTCATCTATAACTCTATTTCAGTGATAAAATTGAGTTGAGTTCTACGAAGAACTCTGCTTTGAAAGTTCCAAATTAGTCATCATCTTTACTAATTCAAACAACTATTGATTTAATAATAGGTTTATTCTATGCTTGAAGATTTATTTCTAAATTTCACTATTTTGTGAAACACCATTTAAAACGAGTGTTGAAATCTAAGGGTAAAGATTTGAAACCCCTTCCTGCAGACCTCTCTATCAATAATATCTCGTTATAATAGATCAATTATCTCATTCTTTTTTGCATTTCTAGACGATTAAGTAAAACGGAGTTGAAGAAATGTGTCCTAAAATAGATAGAATATAACAATCTACCTGAGCTTAGCAACACCAGATGCATCATGTTTCACATTTTAATCGTGCAAGAATTGCACTAAGAAACTTTTTTTTTTATTAGCTTCTAAAAATATTGAATAATATTTAATTTATAATTTGATAATTAAAAAAAATTCTCATATTTTTCTTTAGTTCCAATCGTATAGATCATAGCATTACAACAACAACAACAACAGAAGTATCTATTCATAATGAATTAAATTCATTACATGATACATACGGTCCATATATAGTTGTTGAAATAAAAGATGAAGAACATCGAATGTGTGTACTTCGTTGTGTTTATCCATTTGATAGTTCAGGATCATTTCGTATTTATTTATTTCTATCTCGTCACTATCCAATAATATCACAATTATTTGTACGTTTTAAATTATTAACAAATAATAACAATGATGAACGCTTAAAATTATTTCATATACGTATTCAAACAATATTTGATGAAACATCAAATAAATGTTTTTATTACGGACAACTATGTTTACATAAATGTTTATTAAGATTAAAATATTTATTTGATTTATATTACAAACAAGAAAAGCTATGTTCAACTATAATAACAAATAAAACAAATAAAAAACAATCTGAAGAATTAATACATTCTTTAGATCTTGATTCATCAAATGCTATTATTATTATTAATAATAATAATAATAATAATCATAACAATAATAGTAATAATAAAAATTCAAATCGAATATTTGATCAACTACCATCACCATCAATTTGTCCCAGTAATAGTCAAATATTAAATAATCCATCGGTTCGAGCAAATCCACGTACATGTGGTGCTCGTTTTACTGGTGGAACATATTTAATATGTTTTGGTCGAACGTTAAATCTTCAACAATACAACCAACAACAACAGCAACAACAACCAACTTCTGCACCACCAATTCTTAATAGTATGAATGATATATTCATTAATCGACCACAACCAGTACATATGCGATCAATGAGTTTGACAGTAACAAAAAGTCGAGGAAATTCGAGTACAGATGAACATTCATCAAGGTAATTTTTTTTCTTTCATTGTATTTTGTAAGATGTTTTTTTTTTAAAGTTATCGATCATCAACAATATTAACAAATACAGTACAAATACAACATGTTATAAATAATCAACGAGGAACGATATTTTCTGCTCCTGTACGTTTATCATTAGGTTCAAGTATACTTGCTGATCATCAGCGTATATCAACATCATCAACATCGTATCGTCGTCCTCTTAGTCATCATTTATCACCACTTCATTCAACAGTATCAATATACGATATGTCAATACTCTTACCATTAAGTAAAAAATTAGCTGATGATTATAAATTTAATTTAAATAATTTAATTGATATGTGTGAAATAAATCAACAATTAACAGAACGAATGGCTAAAAATGACTTAGGTCATTGTTGGCGTTTACTTGCTACTTTATTAGCTTTACAACCAAGTTTACCAAATGATCATCCTTGGTTTCAAACACCAATCGCTCAAGGTAAAGAAAAAAGATTTTTGTAAAAGAATGAGTGTCCTGCACGAGTATGGCTTTTCGAAATCGAACTTAGATCGAAGCTGATCAACATCCGACAGATACTTTCACAGTCATAGTATGGTTTTCAAACTTTTATTTTATATGAAAAATTATAATATTTAGTTTCTTCTATAAATCGCAACAAAAAAAGAGAAATCATTTTAAAGTCACTAGGTATACGTTTGCTTGTTGTTGATGACGACGCAGTATTGATGATGTCAAACATTATAATTGTGGATATATACATGCATTCTTTTTTTCTAACACGATAATATATATTCACCACTTTTGATGATTTATTTTCCTCTCCATTTATTCAGTTACTTCGTCATACGATTCATCATCATGTGTAGATGAATTTTCAATAAAAATGAATTCTTTTAGTAAAACGATATTACTTTCCACTTCTGTGACCTGCTTTCAAGTACGATAAATTGCTGAATCATGTTCGAACCATTTCCAATTCCTACGCTTTTATATAAATTAGCAGTTTGAAAACGAAAAACTATTTTGAAACCTCGAGATTTCATTAGTTGTTCGATTCGGATGTGAGATCATACGCAGAACCCGAACCGACTGCAGGACACTAAAACGAACAAACGAGAATGTTTTTTTTTTCTATGTATTGAAATTCTTTTTTTTAGGTTTAATTAAACACTTAGTTTCACATTATAGTATTGTTGGTGATATTCAATCAGCAAGTATGTTTTTATTAACAATGTTAGATACACCATTTATGAAAACAAAAACTCAATTAAAACCTTTTAATCAACATCCTTATGATTCAATTTTATATGCATATGCAAATTTATTACATCGTTGGAAACATTTTTATAAACGAACACAAATTTTATATCGAATTGATTATAATTGTCAATCACCAGCATCAACAAATCAAACATCATCGACAATTATCTGTTCAATTTGTTTTCAACCAGTTATTGGTCAACATATTTTATGTGCAGTATGTGCACATGGTGGACATTTAAATCATATGCATGGATGGTTTTCATCATCAGAAAGTAAACATCGATATTGTCCAGAAAAAGATTGTGCATGTCGATGTATTATAAAACAACAAGAAGTATTAAGTATGAATACAGATCAAACACAAAGACAACAACATACACCAGTATTAACACCAAGATCTTACGGTGTTCGTACATCATCAACTAGTATTCGTCCTATTTGAGACTTTTTTTGTTCTATTGATGTAAATGTCTATTCGTGTTTTCAATAATAAAAGACTAGTAAAGACAAAGAATAAGGTTTAATAGAACAGTTGAGTCGTATTACTTTTCTTAAAAAGAATGAATAGATAATAGTGAGATTATGATGATTATTATCAGAAGAATCATTGAATGCTAATATTGAAGACAGCTATATTAATGAGACAATGTATTCAACCCCTCTTCCCCGTTCCTCTCCTTCAGAAATCGATCTTTGGTCCAGTACATTCAAATTGCATGAAATTTTTAAGATATACTAGAGTTATAGTGGAGAGCCTATACTAAAATGTTCAGCCCTATAATCTGAAGTTCAAGCAAGATATTCAATAAACAAAAGTCAAAAATAGCTCATTTTGCAATCCAAGATTCTCTATGGACCCTCATTCTATAGATTCTTGTTGTTCGAAAGAGTATGTGAGACTGTAGTGTCTGGTACAGTCCTATTTTTAAATTCTTATTTTTTATACGGAGAAAAAGGATGATAAGGTCAATGCCTCGAAAAATTCTCAAGATTAAGTCATCTATTTACATAAGTGCTTTTCTATATTATCATAAAAAAGCTTAATTCGAAAAACAGATTCTGATAGACACTGCAGCTTAGCATGCAATAAAAACAATTGACTATACTGAAGCTTCTTCGAAAATTTTGGGATTTCCAATCTGAAAAACATGACCAGAGAAAAAACATATTTTTCCAAGCAGAAGTTGACGAAAATCATCGAAAACTTTTGAACAAAGCAAGGGTGTCAAATAAAGAAATCATGTCGTTTACGAAAGATCCGACTTCGTGCTATCTTTTCATGTATATTATTTCAATTTCGATTTTTTATTACGAAACTTGAGGCTTTTTTTAGGTGTGCTTAAAAATGAAACACTTGAAAACAGTTCAAAAGTAAAGATAAAAAAAGAAGATTTTAATCATCAGTATTTGCTTATTTCTCAAATATTCATTACTGATTAAAGATTATATACATAATACAAATCAAATTTTAACTAAATATTGTTGTATAATCATTTATAAAATATTCATGTACAATAGAATATAAAGTAAATCTATTGTACGAGCAATAGTGACGAACTTTTGTTCAACTGTATTTGTCAAATTATTTCTTCTTAGTAAATTTATTCTTGATGCAAATTTTTATTGTCAGACTAAACCTAAGAACTAGAATTATTTATAATGCATGGGCGATGATAGATCAAGCTGGCATATACAATACTGAATCAGTCCATGTCCATATGCATTAATACTCACTAAGACAAATAGTAAATATGTAATGCCTATAGAAGTTCAACAGTCTGTTTGTAAGAAAGAATTTCAATGATTTTGTTAGATATATAATATCAAAAGATATCGATCGATTAACAATTAGAATCCTATTAATTTATTCTATCAATTTCAAGATACAATAGAATTGTTGAGATGTATAACAAGGTCAGTATTTACTTTCGTTTATTGTCAATATTAAATATTTGATATACTAGTAGTAGCAGGAGTAGCTTGTCATTTGATATTTATTCTATAAATGGAAGAGTAACAAATTGTATTACGAGTAACTCGAAAGTACGTAATAATGAAAGCTGTGCATGCGCATCAACGACCATTATCTTACTTATATGCTACATCTCCTTATACTATTCCTGCTTATGGAACTGTACCATCTCAACCAGTTCTATTAGATGTGAATTGGTATAATTCATGGCCACGTATTAGATCAATAATGATTTCTATTGCGATGCTTATTTGTAGTTCAACTATTATTGGTCTTGATATTGCTAATCTAGCTATTGAAGGAAACAAACAAAATGGAGCTTCTAAATTAGGATCAGGAACAGCAAACGTTGGTGCAGGTATTTGGAGTGGATCTATATCATTTCTCGCTGCTATTTTTATTATTGTGATTAGTAAGTAGAAAATTTATGACTAAAATATTATTATTGAAAAGTTTTTAAGTTCATTATTTTTGTGATTGAAATGACTGTTGAAGTATAGAGATACAAATTTAGATCTCGCACACTCTATGACAGACGTTGTTGACATACAATCAAAGATCGTATACCAATAACGTCTTGTTAAACTATTGGCTTCTTGCATTTCTAGAGAATTAAATAAAAGGAAAGGTGAAGAAATGTGTCCCAAAATAGATGGTATCAAACAATGTCCTTATATGATTAGCAATAGCAACTACATTGAGTTTCAAATTTTAATTCTACAAGAATTATGCTAACAACTTTTAATTCTGAAGAAAATTTTTCTCTTTTTTTTCTTTTTACTTTTAAATGTCTAATTAAATCATATCTGTTTTCATTTCTTAATCTTTAATATTTTATTTTTCTTTTAGTATTCTCACGAAATAAACGTATTTCTGCTACATTTGCATTATTGGCAGTTATTTTGGCTTTCTTTTTTACTATTGTTCTCGTTGGTTTAGCTGGCAATTCAGTACAAAATAATCTATCTAAAACCGAACGTACAAATGTAGAACAAATACAAGATAAACTTTTAATTGCTATTCTCTCAATTGCTCTATTAATCATAACACTTTGCATGACGTTTTTTACTATGTATACTAAAGTTTTATTTTCATCATCTACTCATAAAATAACAATGCGTTGACAACATACAATTATTTGATAGAATAGTTTTAGACTTTATCATATGCGTTTTATATACATATACATATATATATATCATTTATCTAATGAGATGTTTTTTATTTCTTTTTCCTTATCATTTTCATTCTGAATGCAATGTAAATTGACTTCGTTTGTTGTTTAAATACTTTCTTCATTAAATATGTTTGTTGCGTATCCTTGTTTTCTAACATATTGCTCAGTTGGTTTTGACCAACAAACAGTGGTAAGCGATATTTTTTCGAAATTTTAATGAAAATATAATAAGAAAAAATAAACGGATAGGAAAAAAGTTCTGCATTAATTTTGTTTTGAGTATAGCGTGACAATAACTCATCGTGAAGATTTGTTACTTTTCTTGTGTTAGAAAGAGCAAAGTCTTTTCTACACAGCTATGTCAAAATATTTGGTTCAAAATACTTACCGAAAACTGAAAAGTTTTAAGAACATGTTTGACTGAAGAAAAGTGCCTTTGCAAATTCATTGAAAATCCGTGATGAGAACGATATTTGATTGATATATCTTGCACTCGACTTTCGAAATCTTGAGCCGCGTTATGTATGAGTATAACCAACGCAACACGGGCTTTCTAGTGATATCAAAATATTCCAGTAACAACAATCACAATTTCCATAGGAAACAGTTTTATTAAAAATGTGGACTTTCTCTCTGCAACACCCAATAAATTTTTATAGAAGACTCACTAAACTTTAATTGGACATAAAATATGGGATTTCATTAATTTCAGTTGCTGGAAAAAAATCTTATTTTTCGAAGTCACGTATTATTTGTAAAACTTTGCATTAGCAAAGTCCATTAGAAAAAAATCAGTTTTGAATTCCATCGTTAATTTGAAAATTTTATTTTTATCTATTTAAAAATGCCCTTGTTTGCTCTTTCTAACAAGAAAACTATCAAGTCTCTACAACAAGCTGTAGTCACGCTAAGCTGAAAACAAAATTAATGCAAAAGTTTTGCATCATCCATTATTTCATAATATGTTACTCTCAATAACATTCAAAAAGACGTTAGTTTATTGTTCTACTATAACGAACGATCAATCTGACATATAATGACCTCTGTCGTCAGTCCCATACATTCTTGAACATAAAAAGAAAAAAAGCCAATGAAAAACAATTATGACTATTAGCTTCCCTTCCGATTATCAACACGACATATACATTACATGACATAGCAAAGTATATGAGAGTGAAGGTGTTGTATGCGTAATCTGAATAAGTATTAACTATAATTATACAGAATAATAATTGTTTGATTTACCTTGATATAGAAAAAAAAAAAACAAATTTTCGTAGTAATTTCAGAATGTAATTATTTAATCAATTTTAAAAATACAATGGAAAAAAATGAATATGCACTCGATTATATTCTTCAAGCAGAATAGTAAGAATAAAGTGTCAAAAAATATAGAAAAAAAAAAAAAAAACCATTGAATTATTTTAGTAATCTTCTTCGAAAACAATTTATACCCGGCATTATTGTTATTCCATCTGGAAAATCAAATCTAAGTAAATTTTCTTGTTCTTTTATTTTTAATTTATATATTAATAAAATTCATTGATTATTATTAGTATGGAATGGTGTTCACTTTATTTCTCAAGGTCCTTATGAAGGTGGTGTTTTTCGTTTTCTAATTATAATACCAAATACATTTCCTGATAACGATAGCCCAGTCTGTTTTTTGCAAGACACTTGTTTTTTTTCATACAACAATTAATTTTTTTCTTTAGCAAGTACTTTTTACATCATCAGTATATCATCCTCAAATAAATCAAAATACAGGTGAACTTGATATAAAACGATATTTTCCTGTATGGAAGTAAGTTAAGCAAATAAATAGGTTATTATTTGATTTCTTATATCTATAGACGTAATGGACATCATCTTTGGCAAGTTTTACGTTATATTCGACGTATATTTCAAAAAATTGAAATTACAAACGCGGTGAATTCTGATGCGGCTCATCTGTAAGAATTAATCAAAGAATCAACGAGTTTAATATCGTTTGTATTTTTCTAGATATGAACATGATCCAGGAGCATTTCTTTTAAAAGTATCTGAATGTGTCAATCAATCAAAAGATAATCTTTATATTTCTGATTCAACAACTGCTGATGATCCACATGCTATTGTGTAAGTTAAATATATTATTCATAAAGAAATGGATAATGAAAAAATATTGTCTTACAAGATTATGAAGTTTTATTGTGGCATATATAGAAGATTATGATTACGCTAGACTTAAGATTTTATATCCGGCGATATAAGGTGCTTTGCTAGATATCAAATATCTGGAAAAAAAAAGAATAATCTTAAGAATTCATTTTGATTATGAAATCTATATACAATGAATACTATGACTATTCAACAAGATTAAGTTTCAATTTTTATTCACTGCTGTAAGCATGACAAAGAATGTAAATACTGATTTGAATAGAGAAAATTGTTTCCAACTAGAATATAAGAAAATTAAAATTATTATTAGATTCATATAGAGAGGTAGAGGCTTCAGAAAACTAAAATCGTAGTTTTTCAATAAGTAGAGCGCGTAAATATAATGTTATTTAGACTACACAGAACGGTAGAGTGAACCATCCTCTACAAAATAAGGCATTGTCGAGTTCTCAGCGACATTTTTTGGCTGCGACACAATAATTTGATTGAAGATCAAAAATGTTTTTTCTAACGGAAATTGGAAAAAAACGACTTTAAGAGCTTTCACAAAATTGTTGTAGCTTAGCTGGAAAACGTTGCTGAGAACTCAAAAACATCTCATTTTTTAGAGCATTGTTTATTCTGTCGTTCTTGATATCGAAAATTCAACCTTTTATTAACAGTTTTCTCTATTCAAATCATTATTTGGATTCTTTCTAGCGTTTATGGCAGCGAAAAGAATTTGAAAATGAACTTTGTTGAATAATTTTGATACACACTATATCTTGTATTAAAAATTGAGCATCCAATAAAACAATCATAACTCGAGAAGACTAGCGTATGAAAATAAATCTATTAAATTTTGAATCTCATCAAGTTCTACAAACTAAAACAACTGATCTTGTCTATATTTCATTGATCATTCAACAAAGAATCTATAAACGATTAAATAGATCGCATTTGTAGCAGTAGGATCTTTCAAAGTTCAGACTTATGGATAACAATATCCTATGCGGAGTGGAGCTTCATGTGTGATGGGACAGTCCCATCCCATTCGTTCCATGGGACAAATAACAAATTATATAAACATTTTTTTATAAGGAAAAATATTCCTATTTTTTTTCATATTGACAGCATTCTTGTCAATTTCAATACAGTAAGAAAAAATAGCATTTAATTGTATTCTGTAATTGCTTCTTCATTGTAACTATTACAACACAAGAAAATCGATAATAATCAACGAATAAATAAGCAGCAAAAGTCATAATTCTGTCTATCATAATAGTTAAAAGCTGTAATTGATTCATATCTTAATAATAACTGATAGAATGTCTGTTGAAAATTTCTTGTCGTCTGTTATTGAATGTCAATCTGATTCAAAGATGGGTGTAGTGTGGGCGTAAGAAAAGAGAATATGCATTGAAAACAATATAATCTAATTTTAGCATTACATATCATAACAAACAGCTCTTTATCGAAATTTTTATTATTACGATATTAGTTGATGCATGATCAAATTTCACAGAAAAATAGAGCAATGTTTTTACTCTCATTATATAAAAAGGGAAAGTACATTTGCTACTGTTTTTGAATTGTTCTCAGTGATATAATGTTTTATATAATTAATCAAGCAGATAAATGTACTAATAGATTTCACTTTTTTTGGAAAACATTTGATTCATACAATCTTTCATGGGACAGAAAATTTTTGAAGGTTATCCCATTTTATTTTAAGCAGAACCTTGATTTACATAATATCATATTAGAACTAAATTTTTATATGATTCGAACTAAAAACAATGAATTCCATTCTTATCTGCATTCGAGTAAAAATGATGCTTGACACTTGATATTTTATCTTGTTAGTTTATTAATTATCAAAATTGAAATTATTTCTTATAGATTTACACCATGGAATGAAAGCTTACAAAAAGTACGAGAGCATTTACTGGTTGGAACGAAGGTAAATCAATGTTTACTGAATATAATTATTTAAAATTTGTTATAAAATTACTTTCAATCAGAAAATATTTTCTCATATTGGTACGAATCAAAAAGAGGATAGCACTTCGTGTAAGTGCCTAAATGCATGTGCACGTTCTAGTATGATTTATTCTTTGTTTTTCAAAAACCCTACTAGAAAAGTTTTATTTATTTTTTCTTTTTTGGCTTATCTAATAAAATTTAAATAACGCTTTTTGTCTTTGAAATTCTTAGTTAATAAGATTTGATTTTGGTTCTTTTGATATAGCATGTGTTTTTTAAGTCTCTGATGATTAGATTAATCTAAAGAAAATTTTTCTTTTTATTATAGCAAGCTTTTGATAATATTCATGGTTTATCATGGATGAAGCCAGGTGTTTATCAAATATTAGCACGAGAAGATACTTTACCAAGTCATCAAAATTAACTTTTATACACAAAAAAAAGTTTTTTGTTGTACTGTATTTTTTTTTTGTTCGGCTTTTTCTTTCCTTTTTACTTATTTATTGAATCCTATTTGTTGTAATATCTTATTTGTATTTCATTTTTAGATAATGATAAAATCACCATTTCCATATTTTACTCTTGGAACAATTGTACGTGGTTTTGGACGTGGTAGTAAAGAACTTGGTTGTCCAACAGGTACTTAGATAAAAGGCAAGTTTGATATTTAGTTAAAATATTCTCATTTTAAATTTTAGCTAATTTAGATGAAACTGCAGTTGAGAAATTACCATCATCAATTGATCAAGGTGTTTATTATGGATGGGCACAATTATTAGCAACAAATAATAGTAATGAACTTTATAAAATGGTAGCTAGTGTTGGAAGAAATCCATTTTATAATGATAAAACAAAGACAATAGTATGTTAAGAAAATTTTCTTCTTGTTGTTTTTGTTTAATTTAATTCAAGTTTAGGAAACACATTTGATGCACGAATTTAAAGATGATTTTTATGGTGAAAAATTAAAAATTGTTCTTCTTGGTGAAATACGTAAAATGAAAACATTTAGAAATTCAAGTAAGAAATATTGATATTCTTTCTTTTAAAACAAAAAAAAAATCTTAGTTATTGATATATAAATTATTCTCATTACCTCTTAACGGTTTTCCCTGTAGCACTAATCCAATAGAGTTTATGCTAAGTTAACGACAGAAATAGCTTATGCAAGTGCTGGTTATGACACTGATATAATTAGATTTGGACAAAGTTATTTCAATGTAAAGATCCAGAATGGATCATTTATGATCCATTTGTCATGAATGACATTAAAATTAAATTTATTATTGATTTGATCTTTTAAAGTTTTTCTCACAGCTATGTTATTCAGGAATGCTGAGAGTGGTGATTATCCCTCAATCTTAAAAATTTTTCCTCTTTCCTCAGCAAAACTGAACGACTCTCTTCATTTCTTTTGCTTGCTAATCTCTTCAACCAGAATTGATCCCAACCCCAATCTTGGTGACCTCAGGACACGCCTGATACTCCTATTTTATCTGTACAAAGCTAGAAACCTACTTATCATGCATTATTGTTTTTGAAAAATGAGTCATATAGAGGAATGATATATTGCTAAACAGTTGTAACACCTGCTTTTTCCCGACTAAAATAAGGTCTTTCATGTCAAGAATCGTGTCGGAATCGTTAGTCTTCATTTCCTACTTATAATATGAAATCATTAATTTTAACTCGAGATCTTTCGTTGCCTTGTTTTGTTGTAAGTGTGCTAATATTAATATCACCTCCCGCTGATCTTCGTTTCCTCTTTATTATCTCTCTACTGTTCTTTCCTGTGCTCATTTCTCTTCTATGTCAGCATGTGTTGTATATTAAGAGATCACATTCTCTATCTTTTATCAATAATAAGTTATTCTAAAATGGCCATGAAATGCTTTTTGATTGACTATTTGTTCTAACAAAATTTTTAGCATGAAAATTTTTATATTTATGAGTTTACATCGAAAATAAAATAATTCTAGAAAAACTATTTTTCATGTTACTCACTGCTCATATCGTCAAGTTTTTATCAAAACTGATGATTTTCGGACAGTTTGCTCAAAAACTCGCTTGTAATATGCCACAGTATATTTTGTCAAATGGACGTTATCTGTAATAAACAATAAAACTAAACTAAAACGGTCGATGTGGTTGATACAGGCGATTTCAACATGCTTCCAGCAATGCGGCAGTGTCAAACTTGATTGAAATGTAACGCTTTTGTAAGTGAGATATTTAAAAAATCAAGCAAAAGAACCGGTGATTTGTGCGATATGGGTATCAACTAATTGAAAATGACCCATGTTATCATGAAAAATGTTGCTTTAACATTTGTAATCAAGAAATTTTTAAAAATTACTTTGCAAATATATTATGCTCGTAATACTATATATCAATCTCACAAGCATTAGCAAAATCAGTCTGTGTGACTAAATAAAATTAAAAAAAAAAGAAAGTTTTTTCAACTAAGATATCTTAATCAAGGAATGATGAGAAGAAGTGTAATTTTTTACGAATTGGTAACTTATTGAAGATTCTAAATAATACTTGGAAATCTTCTCGATCCAATGCTTTATTATCGTGTATAGATAGTTTTAGGGATGGGACAAAAATAATCCAACAGATGGTAAATGACTCGAAGAAGAAAAAAAAACGATGAAATTATTGATGTAAAATAGATATTATTTCCTTATAGATTTTTTTCAAATCAGTCGTAGGAGTATTTTCTAATTACATAAAACGCATAGTGTTATTCGTGTAGAAATATTCGATTATACTTCAATAGCAGACTATAGTTCATATACAAAAAAAACATCAGAAGATAAAATACATGAAAGATAGTATTAATACATATTCTCTAACTTATGGTATTTGTATTAAACAAAATATCGTAACATACGTAAGTACTTCAATTCTATGAAAATAATAAACGAGACCCATAATTTATTTGTCTGCGTTATTTAAGAAACTTCTTAAGAATCATAGCACCGAAATCAAAAATGTTTGTCAAGTGCTCAGTACTTTCCGTTTAGCATCGGATTCATGTATCCGGTTCGGATGTGAATAACATCTTATATTTTCTATATAATAGCATATTTTTTAACCGAGATATTACTATTATTCATTAATAATCTAATGTAAATATGAGATTACAGTTTTTCTATTGAGAAATGTTCTAAAAGGAAAAAAATCCCCAAGCAAAAATTTTTATTTACACACCTTATTTTTATCAATAATAATGAAATGAGAATTCTATTTGCAACTAAAAAAAACATAAAATTTGTTTTTGTCAGTCGATTTTTCAGGTAAATTTTCTTATCTGAGGAAAACGATTACATTTAATAGACTGTCTAGTTTACTTTTAAAAGTCTTTTTATAATTTATGCTTAATTTTTAGGTGAACTGGCTATGGCTATTCGAAATGACATTTCTAAAGCTTGTCATGAACTTGATTCTGATCAATGCCGTCAATATTTAAATCACCCATATTTTACTAAATAATTAATTTTTGATTCATGTCGAATAATAAAACAAAAAAAAAATACGAAAACCAAGAAAAAAAGAAAGAAACAATCTTTATTCATCTGCAAATTCCATTGATTCATCATAACGTGTAGTAGCTGATGCTTCACGATGATCAACATTAAATATAGGATGACGACCAAATGTAAAATTTTCAACACGTTTATAAGCTTCAGATCTTTGTAATGGACCAAAGATCATAAAACAAACACCAAATATCGATAAAATTGATAAAACAAAAATAATAAGAAGTGAATTAGGAAATAAATGATTTGTCATTGTTGATGATGTTGATGATAAGATTTCATGTGTACAATTTTCAAGTATACCATTAATAGATATATTTGCACATAGAATTGATGATGACAAATTATTCTGAGTATGATAATGGCTGTCCTTACGAATGCGTATCAACATTGCGTATATAGATATCGATCAATTATACAATACGTAATAGTTTGATGCGATATATATACAAACATAAAGTCTATTTTGTACTAAAGCTGAAGATTGATTCCAATCAAATTGGCTTAATAGGTTTTTTGTTTCATAACTGTTTTGTCATTATCATTTTCTTCTTTTACATATATTCATTTAGTCTACAAAAGAATTCAAATACAAGAGGACAATAAAAAAAAAAGAAAGAAAATAGAGACAAAAAAAAAGAATTTTGTATTTCTATGTCATTTATAAAAAAAATGTCAAATCAGACAAAAAAAAAAAGAAAAAATGATGAATTAGTTTCTTTTTGCTCACTTACCTTGAGTGTTCTACGTATATATTTAGATTCTATGTTCCTTCATTTCTTGTTTTCCGAATAATGGAATCGTAAACTAGAGAGACATGGGACATCAATATTTCTTTTATCATATACTTTGTTCACATTACATATTTTAATAAGAGGCGTTTGTAAAATGCAACAATTACATAAATATATATATTCGCATGTATATAAATAGACGCAACTAAATAATAAATTGGATACTACAACTAGTTCTCCTGAGGTTACACGATAGCAATATTATAAAACACACAGACGTCTGCATCTGTTTTTCTTAATGTGGAACCAAGCGTATAAGGAGACTTACTTTTTTTCTCTCTCTTTTTCTTTTTCTCTTCCACTCCATGTCAGCGACAAATTCAATATTCCGATCTATAGAGACAGAGAAAGAGAGAGAGAGAGAGGGAGGAGAGGAAAGAGAGAGCTAGCGGAAACTATGACGGTTTTAAAGGCGGAGACGACGGGGCAGTTGTTCCTCCTTTTGAACTTGTTTTTAGACTTTTTTGACAGCAGAATCAAGTAAAAATTTGTTTCATACCACTCCGTATGAGTGTCAAAAAGCGTTTTTTTGTATGCATCATTGACCACTCTCCTCATATTAACATCTCAAATTCACCACTGAGCGGAAATTTGAACAGCGAATATTCGAAAAATAAGATTGACAATAAAAAATTAATACTTAGATTCAAGGAAATAACTCAAATGAACTCAAAACTAGACATTTGGCCTCATAAAAGAAATCTGACTATAGTAACTCATAGATGTTATAATTGTTCAATTTACTTTTCTTTTTCTTAAATATAAGATCAACTAGCAAATGTAAATCGACTATGACTTGTTGATTTCTAATTAATTAATGAGTTTTACATTAAACAAGACACTAGCGCCCTCTGTCGAATTAATTTTTTTTTTAAATGAACTTATTTATTTTTGAAAACCTAAAATATTTCAACATTTTTCAACAATAAACATTTGATGAAAAGAATTTTTTTCAAATTTTTTCAAGTTTCACAATGCATATTAAAATATTTCTAATTGTTAGTTAAATTATGGAAATAATCCATTTAAGTTTTATATTGTTTATTTGTTCCAGTATCAATATTGTCAAGTTTAAAAACGAACGT